AAAAAGTCCAAGCCAAAGGCAACAATGAATCGATCACCCCAAAAAGTCCAAGCCAAAGGCAACAATGAATCGATCACCCTCTCTGGCAGCCAGAATTTGCTCTTCTTGGAAGTTAACCACATGCTCTCAAGCTAAACACCATTTCGCTGTGCTGGCTAGCAGTGTCTGGACACAAAGATAGGAGGAAGTCTACACATCCTTTTAAATGCTTCTTTTATTTCATTGGTTGTACATTGGGTGAGTGAACTGAATATTACAACCCAAACATAGAATTGATACAAATTAGACTCCTGTTTACACTGTAAGATAATGAATGAGGGAATTCTTTAAGTGTTACGGAAAGGTTTAGTAGAAATGTTACCAGTGATATGGCTGAAAGAATATTTCAGTGAAGTGCTGTTATATCCTGAAAACCAAGAGTGAGATGGAGTTCCCATACAAGTGGCGAGTTCGTCTCTTCACTACAGTATTTGTTGAATTGCTATCTTCATGTCTTGGATATTGGTGATTTTGTTTTTATAATTAAACAAAGCATTTAAGATTTATTCATCATAGTCAGACTTCTGAATATAAACAAACTTTTGGCAAATAATATTTATACAGAAAAATAGTTTTAGATCCTCTCAAATCCCAGAATTATTCTATAAAATTACATTATAAATAAATAAAAAGCAAAATCTGTTGTACATATATTTGTACATCTATGCATTTGCCTTGCCTCCTCCGTAGTGTAAATGGCATATTTATGACTCTTTGCATATTATAATCACAATTCTGGAAAATGGATATCATAGTAAAAATACAGTCTTCTATATTTGCTTGGGGTGCAGGTGATGTTTTTGCTCCATTATTAAAGGGCAGAAAACAGTTGTGTGCTAATCAGTTTAAAAGTCAAAATCATGAAATGAAAGAAAAAAAGAAAGATAATGTTACAACAATTAGTCTACAAAAATATTTCAGTGACTCCCATAATTTATCTTTTAGTAATGCATAATATGTTTTCAATGAGTTTAAGTGAGTTAACAAGAAAAAATAAAAAGGAAAAAAGAAGTTTGAATGTTTTAGGCAAGTTGTAGCATAACTACATTGTATAGTTGCGAAAATTACAAATATTAATAATACATAAAGATGAAACTACCAAAGAAATATACGTTAGATACAATACTTTTCCACAATTAAAACAAACTCAAAGATACAAGCACTATGTAAGATTACACTTAAAATGTGATTTTCTTTTGATAGGGTTCTCAAATCTACGATGTAAGATAACTAGTCATTAGACTCTGACCAACATTAATTAAAATGGCGGATTTCTTTTTCTTCAAACAAAAATGATATGGTTGGTGTATCTAGTTTTCAGAACAGGCGGTGATACCAAAATTTAAAATATTTTACATTCAATCTCAAAAGTCAAAATACTTCAATCACTAATATGTTCACAAAGAAAATGGATGTTCGAAACAATTACACATGAGATTCATTTATAACAGCTGTTTTGTTTTTTAAACAATAATTAAAAACAATGCAGGTACTGTAGAGCTATGTGCAACATATAAAATGTGAAATATGAAATATTTGGTACGATAGAGCTTAAAATAAACTTTAAAACAAACTTCTGAACAAAATTTAATTTTATCGCTATTAACTTGAAGATCAACCAAGTATTTAAAAAAGTAAACAACATTAAAATATGTTTCATCCATATATAGTATATATATGTATGTGTATATATAATATGTATGTACTTGTATTAAAGTTTTTTATACTTTTGAGACATAAAATATGCTTTAAGGTGAAAGAATTAAAAGAACTATTTTTTCCATGCTGTAGTCAGTTACAACCCTCCGATCCAACTTTTGAAATGCAAAACAGTAATGAATTTTTTAAAAAGTGAAACTATCTACTTTTTGTTTACATAGTAATTTAGATTAAAGTCACAGTCAATTTTCAGTGACTAAACTCAAACTTACTTAAATTAGAATATTATACAGATCTCCTCACCTACAGCTTCCTTGTTGGACTAGGTTTTTAGTTTCAAAGAGTTATTCTGTAACAGGCAACTGGATGGTGAGTTTGAAAGACTAATCCCTTCCAGTAGACTGTTGGCATGGTCTCTCATTCTTGTCAAGCTGGATGAAGTCTGGCAAAATCTAGGCACTTCTACAAAGTCTCTCTTATAAAACAACTTTAAAAATATACTTGTAAAATAATACCTTCAAGACTTTGTTTGGTGGGGTATGAAGCTCATACCGTGCAAAGTTTCTTTTTCAATCTAGTTAACGTTATCCTAGAATCACGTGATTCAATGCGGCATCTCCAGGCAAACCAAACACCATACCTTGATGTGTCCTTAGTACTTGTGCTTGAATTTCCATTCAATTTTTTTTTACACCTGTGGGACAGGTAGCAGTTTTACTTCACTTCTCGTCTTTGCTGCAGCATTCGTTTGGTCGAGAAGTGAAACATACCCTTTGACCCAGTGGGTGAATGAAATGACAGAAATTGGAGTTAGAATCGAACCTGCCCTCGGAATAGGTTTTTAAACTACTGCTAATTGTTTATTGCTAACTTGGAAATATTCTGTGTCAAAATGATTAAATTGGTTGGACTCTCTGCATCAGCTATAGTTATGGAGATAAGACAATATTCCTAGGACAGAAACTATGTTTAGAAACCCTTTAAAAGTAAACTTGATCCTTTATGTCTTTAAACATCACAGCTGGTCTCAGGTAGTTAACTATCTTAGGTTGGAGTATACTAAGCATACCATATTTAATACTCATATATGATATAGCAGCACTAGCTTCTTAGAGTTGTGGTCTGTCCAGAAGAACTAAATCTTTATTTAGCATGCAGTTTGCGGCAATTCTATTGAGGAGGAAACAGGATAGTATGTACAATAACAATGTTTAGTTATTCTCAATGCGGACTCCTGGCATTCCATTCCATTTCTGCTGATTATTTCAGAATTATCTGTTAAAGAAAAAGACAGGTGGGATTTAGACATCCTTCTGTGAGGGAAGAGAATGAGTTCAAGTTTTACTCTTTGAAAACAGACATCTGAAACATAGGAATTTCCTTCCATTTCTCATCATTTTGTTGCAATTACAGTCCTGGAAAATTCCCACCCTTATGCTGGTAAGTCAGGCACTTAACCACTTCTGGTCTGCGGTCACTGCACAGCAAATGAGGGTTCGAATGCCCAGTGTTTTCTGTAGAACTGTGACAGCAGCTATGTGGGCATGCTGTGTTAGGTCTCAATCTCTCTTTCAGTTTCGCTTTATAGCTCTTTATTTTACATTCATATTATCAGTTCAGTTATTATTTGCTAAGGCGACCAGATAGTCTATTCAGAAGAGTAGCTTACATATGAAGTTACCTGGAAAGTCTAATATTTAAATATATATACAAATTAGATACTATTCGTTTTTAACTTTTGAGTTTATAATTCAAATATGTAATTTATAATTCAGTTACCTTCCATCTAAGGTAAGTATGTTTCCCCACCCATGACAATGGGTTGACATGTCCCAGTTAAAGGAAAAAAGGGATAACATTCAAGTGAAGCAGTTCAAACTTAATATATCCGAAAGCATAGAGAAAGCTAAACTACGAATGCGAATTATGGTCCTGGAGCTTAATCTCTTAAGTGCATTTCCAGCTCCACACCTTGGAAAAGGGTAGAGAATTCACCCCATGCGACACAGTTCACAAGAGTCACGTTAGAAGCCAAGTCTTTAACACAGTCTAACAGGAATATTTGTTCTCCGTGCATGTTTTTAACCTAGCTTTGTATAACTAATAAGCAAAATGTTGATTAAACAACCAAGGGTTTTTAGGTTAGTAAAAATTCTTTATGGTTAGGGTCAGCTAATATTCTTGCACCCTGGGAGCCAATTCTCTATAAAGCCTCATTCCTACAGGTAAAATTTCTTAGTCCATTATGTTAGAATTTTTACATGTGGTCATTTTTTCCCCTTTCAATAGGTGCATTTAAAAACAGCATGTACATTCAAACAGTTGCACTTGTGCAATAAAGGAATAGCCTTTATATTGTTGAAACACAGAGGTCGTGCATGGAATCAATAAAGATACAGGAAGAAATCCTTTGAATTAAATATGCTAATGGAAACTCGAGACTTCAGATTACAAAATCATTCTTTCTTTTTAAAAAATCCCTAGGAACTGTAAAGTTAATTGGGAAAATAACACTCCTTGTCTTGTGTGCTGATATGAGTAAAAATAATGAAATATCGTATCTTTGAATATTGTTATCGTATTATGGCAAGCAGCTAATATTAAATTTCTTCAGATGGTTACATTATGACTCCATTTGGATTTAGATATTTGATTATGACGTTGGAATTATTCTATGGCATGCTGTAGCCCCAAAGCTGTCTGAAAGGTTTCCAGATAGGAAATGTCCCGCTGTTTTCCTCTCTCCTTTCCCTTTACCTTAGCGAGTCCCTCTACAATATTCATGCAGAAACAAAACGGTGGTTTCTTAAATGGATACATAATAATATATATTTTAGAATATACCTCACACTTACTAACTGAAACTAAAATGCCATACAAAATGAAATTCCCAACCACCTGGAAAGAAAGTATCTACTGAGTCCAGCAATGTCAAATCTGTATTACAGAAATGACTTTGGATTTGCCTCTGACAAAGACCATCAGCTGATTACAGAGAACTGCGATTCAGCTTTGACGTTAGCTAACAGCATACACTGTGTTCACCCAGAACGCTTCTCCCCTCTGCCCAGCCCATACATGTTCCATTGTATAGATAAAGGCATTAATAAAAATGCTGTTATCTTGCTGCCTAGCATGTTGGTCAGGAGACCCTGGCCATATCTGGTCCCTTCCTTGCTAGTTTGTAGACTCTATATGTGACATGAAGAAGTGAATTACACTCCTAGCAACTTCAAGAGGTTCTGGAGATGTGATCATCAGTGATAGGAAAGCTTTGCATTATTCAAATTTTGGGTGGTAGCTTTTTTCTTAAAAAATATTGGATTGTTGGGCCCCTCCCTGGTGGTGCAGAGGGTTAAAACACAGCACAAAGAAGCTAAAACCACTTCAGCATGAGTTTGATCTCTGCCCTCCCCTCAGCAGTGGACTTTGTCAGTCGGCCTGTTCTGCTCCCCACTCTGTCTCTGGTGAAGCCTCCACTGCCCCTGCACCTCTGGTCTGTACCCCAGTTCTGTATGCACAAATAAATAAATCTTAAAAAATATTGGATTGTTATATATTTTTGGGAAATAGATCATGTAGGATAGTCTGATTAAGTGTACTTTCTAGCAAAATGTGTTCTGGGGATGTATCAGAACAGGAATCCAGAGGAGGTCCAGCTACCCACTGAGAGCCTCTACCTGAATCACTGCCCATTCTGTGACTGCTTTTCTTGTCCAAAGATGTGAGCCATTCCAGGTCCTCCTGGCATGGGAGGATGGATGTTCCCAGGGCAGGAGAAGGGCCAGGCATGTGCGCCTAGAGTGACGGCGGGAGGGAGAGAGGGTGTGGAGAAGACCTTTTGAGGGAAAGAAGGGTCTTCTAATTTTTAATGGCTTTCCTTTAGTGTGACTATACTTTAAATTCACACCAAAGAAATGCAATTTAAAATCAGATGAAAAAGTACATTCTGTATGTTCCCCTGCTGTCTCTCTGCAGATATTTTCTTCATACCCCTTCTTTTTGCTCATATAAAACCTGCTCTCTACAGAAGACTTTCTCTATCTCCATTATACTTTGATGGCCAGGAGAATCAAAGCTTCAGAAGGTGCCTGAATAGTTCCATGTGGATACAAAACACATTCCTAAAAGAATAGGCTTGCGATATAGGTGGTTCTGGAACAGAGGCTATAAATCTGATACTGACTTATCTGGAGCTTATTCTTTTAAAAAGATGGTTAATTGGATGCACCAAAGGGATTTACCAGGTCCAGTTACCAGTGGCTCCTTTCCTGCCCTGCCCTCCCCCCCAAAAAAGGGGGCTCACAGACAATGTCCCTTTCTCAGCCTCCAGGCCCTGGGGCCAGGCTTTCAAGAAAAGGTACACAGAGAAATCTGGTTGTCCACAAGCCCCTTCTCTGAAGTATCATCATTCCTTTGTCTTATTTGACTGGATGCTTCATTTTCCCAGAGGCTCTGAGAAACTTTCCCAGGCACCTGATGTGCTGGGTCAGTTTTGTGCAGAATGGTTGTTACTGGGCTGCAGGTGACATGCGTGCCAGAGCCTCGGACACACTCTCCTCATTGCTCTGGCAGCAGAGTCCCTCAGGGCATGCAACGGTCCGAGGGGGTGAGGGGCCCCCACCAGGGCATGCAACGGCCTTTGAGTGGCCTCCGAGTAGGCGAGGACACATGCTCCAGAGAGCATGTCTGTGCCTGCTGGTGCCAGTGGTGTTCTGGGAACTGGGGAATCAGGAAAAGGCAGGGCCCTGGGGCACACGGAGAGCAGAGGGAGGCTGGAGCACTGGAGGGGGCAGCAGTGATTGGAACTGCCAGATGAGGAGGAATTGCCCTGGGACTTGCAGGCCGCTGGGCCTCTCCCCAGGACCTCCTTTCCTGACGACTAATGACACTACCCTAGGCCTCCGCTAGACAGATGCTGCAAACAGATGTCTGCTCAGAGCAACAGAAGCCCCTACCCAATCATGGGGGCATGGCTTCAGCTTCTGGGGAGCCCTGACAGCCGATTGGAGAGGGAAGACATCAGATACATTGAACAAGGTGTATTTCTATCTGTCTCTCTGAAGACGGGTCCCCCCAGTATTGGATTGTAGAACTGAACCGTGAGGGAGAACGGTCACAGTTTTAAACAGGGCGAGCCCGGTGAGCATGGCAAATCAAAACCTTGAACTGCAAGCATTATTTTCAATTGCTTTTTCCACGAAAAAGAGAACCCGCAAATGAGTCCGAAAATCAGCGACTTTACGTGAAACAAAGACACTCGGTCTCAAATCACGAGTGCATTCAGAAATCTTTAGTGGACTCCAGCTATGACAAGAGTGTTTGTGATGCCGAAATGTCCATTGGCTGCGCGAGAGTCTGCTGAGCAGCGAACACATGCTCCAGGTGGTTGGATTTCAGAATCTGATTGCTCTGCTCAATACCCGTCTCAAACTTACTCCCACAGGAGCCCGGCGCATGGTGACCATCACCTGACTGAGACACAGCCCTCGTGACCCCAAAGAATCCCGCAGGCTTTACACTGAACGTGTCAGCAACTGCCACTGGGTCATCTTAGCACCCTGGGCGAAGCGACACTATTGGCCGGGCGTGCAAAGACAGTCGAGCTTGTTAAAGACAAGACTGGGGCAGGGTTGCCGAGGAGCGGGGCAGATGGACCGGCTCAGCTGATCTGGAATGGGGCAGCAGTCACGAGCTCCAGAACCCCTCTGGCAACCTGGGCTCCCACTGCTGGCGCTTTCTAACTTCCCTGCTTACTGCATCTACCACAAAACCTGTGGGTGGAGCCCTGGTGGGAAAGAGAGACAACTCAGCTGGAAGCAAGAAAAACCAGCCTTTCCAGGCATTTCTCGCATGCACCTTCCAGAGGCTAGGACTCAATGTCTTATGGGAAGAACCTGAACACCACAAGAGACGCCTGGCTGTTACTGGCTGAGGCGACAGACACAATTCCAATCTACAGAAAACAACTCTGTGCGGGTCAAATCCATTTTGGGGCTGAGCGCAGCTATCAACTTCCAGTGTGTACTCACTGACCCTGACTTTCTTGGAGGAGATTGGTTCTAAGTCTGGGTCACTAGCTTCTTGAGCTGGCAGCCGTCAGGGCAATACAGAGCCGCCACCACTCCTGGCTGGGGTCAGGAGAGCGGGTGTGCTGGGGGTTAATCCTCCAAGTGTTAGACATTTGGCTTTCACCCAGAGGAATCGGAGACTTGACCAGCTGACACCCCCTCCCTAGGAAGGGATGACTGCCCTCCACCTGCCTGTTTACCAGA